CAGATCCTCCTCATGGTGGGGCTCTGCCACCGGATCCTCATCCCAATCTTTGGGATCGCAACATCCCTCCTCCGGATCCTCTTGCTCGTCCCAAACCTCATCCTCAGGATCCTCTGCTTCCGGCTCCGGCTCTATCTCCTCAGCCGGCGAGCAGCTGTTGCGATGCCAGACCCCATCGGCATCGAGCCACTGTCCATCATCACAAAAGCTGTCCTGCATCTCTTCATCAGCGGCGGCGTCGCCTGCATCGTCTTTTCCCTCCTCCGTTTCCTCTTCTTCTTCGCCCCAGTGCTCCTGATCATCAGCACCGACGGTATCGCCCGCAGCGCCCTCCCACATTTCCTGTTCTTCCTCGCCCCAGTGCTCTTGATCGTTGGCGGTATTGCCTGCATCATCCTGTCCCTCCTCCGTTTCCTGACCTTCCTCTTCCCACCATTGGTCTTCCTGACCCCATGAAGATTCAGCGGCCCGATGGGCCGCTTCCCAATCGAAGTCACTGCCGTCCTACCGAAACGGAATACTGTTGAACGGCTGAAACAACCTACGATCTAAATATATACGAACTGCGTGCAAGAAAACGTCCTCAGCATAGTACTTCGACTGCTTGGGGGCAGAGTTCTCCGGGGCAGATGCCTTGGATCAGCCAATATGTATTCGTTGCCCAAACAGACCAAACATTGCAATCCATGATTTATTCTCTAATCTTCATCATCCGGCAAATCATTTGTCTCCTCAGATACACGAGCTTTATTCAAAACTGCTTTACAATTAACCCGAAGCTCCAGACATCAGTATCTCGAAGCAGCCTTCGTGGCAGGAGCACTCATCAGATTTCCATCTGCACCATAATCATTGAAGAGATCCTGATCTTCCTTAGATGCAGCACAATGCTCATCATGCATGATAATTGGCAGCACTGGTATCTTCATCATATCTCTAAGCAACCTTCGCAGCAGGAATCCGCAGAAGCTTGCCATTCTCATCATAATCCTCGAAAATCTCCCAATCAGGAAGCTCGTCCCCGTTGTCATCCTCACGATGACTTTCTTCATGTTCATCCGTCACCTCGAATCTGTTCGTTCGCAAGAATACGAAATCTCACTCATATATGTATATGTAGGTTTATTATATATATATATATATATATATATATATATATATACATATATATATATATACAGATATAGATATTCATACACACACACATATATATATACACACACATACATATATTGCCGACACGGACACACACACACACACATCTATCACAGGTATATCAGAGTCACTACTATAGGTCGAGTAGATATATATATATATATGTATATATATATATATACATATATATACATATATATACATATATACATATATACATATACATATATATATATATATAGACGGCCAAGCCACGTCGGGGATGCAAACATAGCTCGGCCTCAGTTTCGGCATGCATGGGTCGATGACAGAAAGTGCGATCGTTGGCCGCCAAAACATTGAAATTGATGATAAGTCGCGTTTTGCCCCGCAGCCGCTTGGACGGTCGAACATCCCCAACCTCGATCAACAATTCGAGAGTAATACAGTAAAAAAAAGTTGGAATAGGATTTTTCTAAACCCTTTATGGTAAATTATAGAGGGTATCCTACCCTGAAACCATATTCCAACTTTCTGCAGTTCCCTTTATTTTGATAGTTGCATGATATATATATATATATATATGTATGTACATACATACATACATACATACATACATGTAGGGTCCATCTCTCGCCCTCGCTCGCATGGAGTCTAAAATCCAGCTCTCGAACATGCCACCATGTTTGTATGCATGCGAACAAGATACACTCTGGTCACTCGCAGATCGCTTGTTCATCAGCGGGGCCTGGGAGTCCTGGCATGCCACGAACAAACACACTGCTCAAAATCCACTATTATAATGCTCATGCACAGAACTGCCCAATCCTCGGAAGGGTCGAGGTCTAAGAATTCGTAGGGCTGGGTGTCCATGCAATCCATGGCCGTCGACGGCACCGAGCTCTTCTTTGCACGCTGGAGAATTGCTGTGAGGCTACTGCTGACTGAGTCAATCCAAGCATCCCTGGTAAGTCCCGGCAAGGAGGGAAGTTCGATCTCGGAGTGATTCTTCAGCATTTCTTTCACAGCATCGCGAACCATACACTGGGTAAACCAACGCCCGTCTAACTTGCTGGCCCAAGCTAGGCGTTCACGTGTAACCCTGTGCCTCAAACTTTGGGTTGGTAGCAACGAGCCCGTCTGCCGAATCTCCTCGAGATGATCTCGACAAAGATGATCATACAAATGTTCGGCAATTTGCTGTACCTTCGATCTGCGGCAGTCAGCCATGGCCTTGAATCAAGGAGATCCGGCCAACACGTTACTTTATGTTTTGAAACCTATTTGGGTAAAGGAGGCGTCCCCATGAAAATGTATGAATGCACATGCTCGAACCATGCGTGAGAACCTGCGCTCGCTGCGCTCGAACATATATAAGCCCTGCATTCGAATCGGCCATGCGCATCACACAGCTTCAATTGACAGAGCACCTTCACTGATCGATCACACAGCAAGCAGAGCGGTGCAGACACATGAGCAAACAGCTTCAACGCTGGCATATAAATTTCTTGTAATATATCATGTTGTTTCTGAGAATATATAAAGGTATATATATATATATAAATGTTATATATATATATATATGGTATATATATATGTATATATATATATATATATATATATATATATATATATATATATATATATATTGGATGTAGAAAATATGGTAATGTTGTAGGGTTTAGGGTATTAGGGCAATAGTTTTTTTTTTATCTTCGCTCCATGCTTTACAGCATGCGAAACGTCACAAATGACATCCTCTGACAATATTCATCGTTTGTTGGCCGGATATGCATCTTCATGATACTTGCCCTTAATGGTGTGCACCAATCGAACCGACAGGCTTTCGGCCCCGCCATCCTCGTGACAGTTGCCATGTTTGGATGTGAAACGTTTCAAACTGTACAAGTTGCTTTACATCCACCGACGAATTTTGCTAGGTAGTGACAGGCCTATAACCAAGCCAAAATCCAACAGCGGAATAGCCCCGAACAGGGTGATAGATTTAAACAGCCGGACCGCCCGTGGTGGCAAGCTCAGCACGCCCCAGGTCGTCGAGAAGGTAGTCCCGAAGATGGTGGAGGACCGCCGCAGCGGCCAGGCCTTTGACGTAAACGGCACCATCGCCAAGGTGACGCGGGTCACGCTGCTCTTGGAGGCCCCCACCTTGCTCAACGGCTTCTGGGGCTACTGGAAGGAGGGCGACCGCGTGATAATCAGGGACTTCGAGGCGTTGCTCACGGCCGACCGCCCACCCTATGGCGTGGGGACTGTCTTCACTCTCGACAACGACATGGAGATTTTCCAGCAGTACGATGCGAACACAAAGACCCTCCGCTGCGAGGGCGGGATCGACGTGCCCCTGAGCCGGGTGCTCTACATCCGATGCGACATGTGACAGCACCGGACCCCAAAGGACAGGCGCAAAAAAGTCTTTTGAGCGTTGTGCAGTGTGTATAGGTATCACGGATTTGAACGAACGAGACGCAGCCTCGGCTCATGGAGTGCGCTCGCTGCGGGAAGGGCTTCACTCGGGCGGCCGGGCTCCGGGAGCACGTCGCCGCCGTGCACGAGGGCCGCCGGGACCACGCGTGCCCCCACTGCCAGAAGCGCTTCGGCTTCGCCTCGGGGCTGCGAGAGCACGTCAGGCTCGCGCACGAGAACGTGCGCCCGCACTGCTGCGGCCTCTGCGGCCAGACCTTCCACAAAGCCGCGGACCTCCGCGCCCACGCCGCCATCCACGAGCGCCGCGGTTTCGTGCACCGCAGCGGCCGGGAGGCGTGCGTGGAACGTCTGCTGCGCTGGGAGGAGCTGCCCTTCCGTGCGCAGCTCCGCGTAGATTTCACGGATGGCTCCAGCCATGGCGGCCACGCGCTGCTGGACTTCGCTGTCGAGCGGGAGTGGGGGCTCATCGCCCTGGAGGTGGATGAAGGACAGCACGCCTCCAGAGAGCCGGCGGACGAGTGCCGCCGCATGGTCGAGATCTTCCGCTCGCGAAGCCGGCCCCCCGGCAAGCTGCGCTTCGTGAGGTACAACCCGGACTGCGGGCTGCACGTGGTGGAGCGCCACGGGCGGCTGCTGGAGGCGCTGGCGGAGCCGCCGCCGGCCGGCGACCTGGAGATCCTCTACCTGTACTACGACCTGCCGGCGCCGGGCGCGCCGCTGCCGAGCGTCTGCCTGAGGGCCGACTACCTGGAGGAGCTTCCTAGAAGACGTGGCGTACCTTAAATGTACCTATACCCCCGTTTGGGCGCCGTATATAAGAGTCATTTGAAGTTTAAAGGACATTTGGTCATTTAAGAGACATTTGAAAACAAAAAAGACGAATCAACAGTTTTCGCCTCAATCGGGTCGAACAAACAAGTTCGCCATGGATTTCACGAATGTCACAGAACCAAGCCGAATGTCGCGGACAGGTCGGGTTTGTCCGGAACTTTTGGGACGGCCCGAAACCACAGAGATTGGCAGCAAGCAGCGATATATTCATCGCAGGCACGTGAAAAAATCGAGCCACACATGCTTGAGCAAATAACATTTGAGCCACACCTACTGTGATTTGAGTCCGGCTTGTTTTGAGCCATATAAAAACAATTCGAGCCACACTTAGGGTTTTAGGGTTTGTTTGAGCCAAACAACACTTGAGCCACACTTAGGGTTTTTTAGGGTTTGTAAGGTTTGGGCGTTGGGGTTTCGGGTTTAAGAAGTGGTGTAACATAGGTTTTGGGTTTGGGTCTCCCTGTTTCGTTCGTCGCCCTGAATGCCCTGAACTCGAAAGCGACAGTAAAACCCTTAAAGACGGAAGCAACACCCTTGAACCGGAAACTTAAACCAAAAAACCCTTCCACTCGCCGCCTTTCGACGTTTTCTCACTTGGGCAGCAAGCACTCCAGCAGGGCCTGTTTCGCCTGCACAGCATTTCTTTTAAGCAAAGATTGTTCTGCCGTTCGGTGGCTTACTTTGCGCAGGATGCGCACACAGTGTTTGATATGATCCTCGTCCATATAACAGTTGTCCCACCCCGGCGATCGTTTGCTCGGTCGCTTGTCTCTCAGCATGTGGATCAAATGATGAAATTTTGGTCGCAGCTTGAAGTAGTACTCCCCTCTGTCGCATGCTATTGTGGCCAGTGCACAATAGGAGCTCAGGAAAACATCGCCCACCACACGTAGGTGTCGTTGCTGCTCCATCGTCAGAAACACACCGGAACTCATGGCACAGCGGCTCAACTCGTCGGCAGCCCAAACCATGCCAAGCAAGCCTCCGTATGGCCCCGGCAATGGGGACTCCTCCAGCTTCTTCAGCACGAATGACATAAAGGTCGAGGCATCCGCAGCCTTGCAATGTAGTTCCGGGCAGCCACGATTCCAGTGAAGCGAGCTTTTCCGAAGCCGCTTCATTGCCACAGTTTTTCCAGTCGCAGCTGCGTAGATCTTCAGATCTTTGAAGAGTTCATTTAGCCGCTTTGGAATCGTGGGTCCTCCATAAATCGATGTGTCTCTGCACATCAGTTTTATGGCACTTCCAAGGATGTCTCGTGCCACCCCCAGCGACCACGTGTGCATCCAGTCCACTTGCACCATTTGAAGATCAAACCCATCGATAAATGCAAAAGCCGGACGGTCCACCCAGGGCTCATGGGAATATTCGGTCGTTGTCCAGGGAGCATCAACATTGATGTCGGTGTACAGCATGCCCGGATCGGATCTCGATGCCAAACACTTGAAGCATACCTATATAGCTGCGAAGTCAAAAGAAAGGTTTTGACCAACACGACCCAAACTTTGATTTCAATCCAAACCCTTAGAACAACAAAAAAAATCTAATGAGTTGTGAAGACCTGGGCCTTAAATCTAAGGGTTTCGGTTTTGGCTGGTACAGTCCTGCGGGGAGCTCGCGTTGCGAACGAAGTTGAAGCATTGGGTCAAATATTTGAGATCTCCACGAAAAGCCACCGGAACAAAATAATAGGTCTCCTCCGATGCAACTGTATATGAGGTGGGCTCATAGGTTCTTATTTTGTAGCGAGTCTTACACCACAAACAAATATTTATTTGTAAAGAAACTATGCGTACACCCGCCCGAAACCTAATATAAGGACCTAGTAAAAACCCTACATCATGGAGGTATATCATAGGGTTTAGGGTTTCGGGATTTGCCGGGCAAGAATCTCCAGAGCTGCATGGTAAGCCTTTATGCATGACTTCGTTGATGTCCTTGACCACTGCAGCGTTCAGGTGCTGGAGGGTCTCATTGGTTTTGCCATTCACAAAGTATCTGCTGGCCAGAAGCGAGTAGATCATATAACGAGATGCTTTGCTGTGCTCACGGAATACCGACAGGTCAGGAGTCCTTAGACAAATATATAGTCGGGTTTGACTTAATCCAGGCTACACCGGCTTCATACAAGATCCTTCAATTCAACTTGTGATTTAAGCTTGCAGCTGCAGCGGCCACGAAACCACCATCCAGGAGCTGTTATTGAGGGTCCCCTCGTCACCCCAAAGGACTATGGGGATTGTGTAGCTCCAAAGCTTTCGCTTGTTCTTCAGCCAATGGTCAGGGAAGTCAAGCAGCAGTTGGGCCCAGTAAGAATGCAGATCAGCGCTCGATGGGTACATGGACTCCACGAAATCCTCCTCGAGCAGTGCCCTTGCCTGAAGTCAAGTCGTGGCTTCCGGACGGGTTTGGAGGTTTCGATTTTCTTGAACTTATACCAGGGATTTGCAATCAAGGGTAGGGTCGTTGTGGACAAACGAACAATTGAACTTAATTTAGGGTAGACTTCGCGATGAAGTGCTATTTGGAAAACTAACATTCATGCACAAACATGCTGGCCATGTCAGAATCCGAAACACCATAGAGGATGGCAGCACAACTGGGCATTGTTCAATGCAGGGTTCCTCGTCCTCACCACGGATGACTGGTGCAGCCACATAGGTCACGTCGGTATTGAAGGCATACCCAGCTTTGCAAACTCTTCTAATGTATTCAGGCTCCCGCAGTGCACGGGTGTCGTACCCATGCAATAATTCACTGTCATAGATGTCACCTAGCTGGGTTGTTACCGATTATCTATATACTCGTAAAGTATTTAACGTATAGTGCATATAAAAACATGTCAAAGTCTTAAGCAGCATGACAACTAATTTCAGCACGAGGCTCCGAGGGAGCATGCCAGTGATAAGCTTGCCTCACCAGCAGTCGTCGCTTTGACTAGCCTCGGATCTAGCTGTGACGGGTTAAAGCAGCTAGAACCGAGAAGCCGAGCAACAAATCATCGAGGCGATCACTCGTAGCCTTGGATCCAGAGCTGGAGGAAGGCTTGCCTGCGGTGGGCCAGGGCATTTCGGTCTTGGGGGCATAGCATTACAGGGTTTAGGGGTTTAGGGTGTAGGGGTTTTGAGTGAAGGTCTGGGTCAGTCCAGGTGCACTCTCGGAGCAATGTTCTGCACACGTTCCAATTTTTCAAGCACGGACATCCTGCTCATATGGCCCCACGTGCGATCACATCACTCATAAGCGGACCAGTGTCAGTCTCCAGCACTCCCAGCTAGCAACTTGTGTGGATGTGCATTGCTCGGCTGGTGACTGAGCCTAAGGCCCAAGCCCAAACCCCTGCCCACCGCAACTGCTTAATGCAGCGGGTTCAAATCTTGAAGCTGTGCCCTGAAAGCCCGAATTACCAAACAATCAGAACTGTTTGACAAAGCTCACAGCATACCTTGAAATGATCACAGGGCCATCAGCCAGCACAACACAGCCAGCAGGAGCATTGCTCGGGGCATCGTTGGAGCAGTAAACTCTTGCGTGAACCAGTCGGTCACTAAATATTCATCTTACCCCGAAACCAACACTCAATGCTAGGCCAACTCACGGTCGCTTCCGCAACTCCTTCAAAAGGCCTGAAGCTTGGCCTTTGGTCAGCTTCAGCTGCTCGATCTGCCGGGCAGCGGACAATGGTATCAGGCCGGGTTATGATTATTAAGTGGGTGTGAGATTTATAAGGATCGGGTTTCAGATATGGGTATATATAGGGTTAGGATACAACTACATTGTAGGGGTTAAGGACCGGGCTTATTCAGATATGGGTAGAAATAGGGTTAGGATACAACTACATTGTAGGGGGTGTTGTTTGGGTTTTCATAGCACAGGGCAACCTCTCCAACCTAAGTCGAAGCAATACCTGGTTTGGCAACATTTATATCGCAGCCTAATTCAATGCAAAACCCCGGCCATCCTACACCAAGCCTCCTCGTGGATCTGCTCGCATAGACCATCGAACTTCTCACCGGCCTTTGTCATACCCAGCCTGAGCAAGGTATTTTAGTACGATATGTTAAGGTCATCGGGCTTTGTATGGAGTTTAGGGTTCTGGGAATGTTGATTTATGTGGATGGGTCAACAGCTTGGGGTTCTCAGCAAAGGTTTAACGTGATTACAAGCTTCAGGGTTTTTGGCTGCAGGGCTTCAAGATTTGGATGTTCCGATTTGACATGTGCCGGGTTTGCAACATCTATAGACAAGTGGCTTCAAGCTGAAAGCCTTCATTTTCGCATCGTGGGCTTTCAGGGATTTCAGCAGGTCCGGGCTATCAGCCTGCGACATATCGATGATCATATTGCTCAGCTGCCCGATTTCCTTCTTCACGGCTGCACCTCGGATGATGTTGCTACACAAAAAAACTTGCATGCACAGATTCATACACCGACCGGTCATTTTAAACAAGTAACTGAACTTGGCGTGCTTCTCTTCATCGGTCCTGAAACTCTCGTTGATGAGACTCTTTCGCCCCACAACGGAACTGGCCGCGCTTCTTGCCGGCCCCCTTGTAGACGGAGCTCGACGGTTCTTGCCCGAATCCGAGCGACCTGCCAGATAAGCGATTCAAGACTACTGAGTATAGTGTTTACACACAGAGGAAATATGATTTGAACATAACAACAGGTGTCAGGCCTGCACCAGCAGCAGCTTCGAGGTCACGGTTGTAAGAGTCGAAGGCTCGAAGAACGTCCCCACTGAGTGGGCCACTGGCCGGTCCTTGGCCTGCTCGAGCCTTTTGAAGAAGGCTCGGCATGTTGGGTCCATTTCCCATCATCTGGTCCAGCAGGGCTGTCGTTGGCCGAACCCGTGCATTCACAGAGCAGCCCAGCCTGAGTTCAAGCATCATTTGTTGGGGACATTGCACGAAAAACACACAAAGATGCACGTGAAAAAAATTGGAAGCCAAGCTGCCTTGTCTCGGAAGTCTCAGTCCTTGTCCTCTTTGTCACCACCCAGAACTTTGTCTCTTCAAGCACCCCCGGACAGTCCGGGTCCTCCTCCCCCGTTTGTCGGGAGATAATGGACTGTATTTTCCGCCTTGGCTCTGCTGCTAGCACGTGTGGCCAGCTTGCAATAAGATTTCAATGGAAAGTAATCAAGATTGTTATTCTATGGGTAGACAAGGCACTCGCTAAAGTTGTAAGGGGGCTTAGACATGTCCTTGACACTGACTTGCTCCCAGATCCTTTCTCCCTTTAGGGATTCCTGCCGATGCATCTCCAGAGACGACTCCATGGCATCAATGTTGCCGCCCTTGCATACCCACTCTCGTAGGGCTTTGTTTCGATCCTTATTAGAATGAATGCAAGCATATGCTGCGACCTGATTCCGAAACAAACGAAGATTATGAGCCGAGTATCGGTGAGGGAGCCATCCATCAGCTGGCTGATGTTGGGGCAGCTCGCGAACTTGCCGGACTGATGCGCCCGTGCCTGGGATCGTATAGCGGGTAGGCTTGGGGACCTTGAGGATTTAAGCTTCGGCTTTTTGTTCAACATGAACTATCTCACCCATACACACACACACATAATATATATATATATATACATATGCATATATACATATACATCTAACATATATATATATGTACATATATATGTATAGTTGCAAGGTTCAAAGGGGTAGTATAGGGCCTGGGTTTAGGGTTTAGGTTTTGGCTTCAAGGGTTTTCCAGGTACTATGTGTAATCGGGGATGCAATAACGGTCCCCACAAAGGCGACTCTCCTTCGGGAGAGGCTGATACAAAACAACATATGTTGTCAGGTTTATATAGGGATATTATATAGGGCCTAGGCTTTGGCTTCAAGGGTTTTCAAAGTATATACTAGGTTACTAGGTGTAATCGGGGATGCAAGGGGTTCAAGTCGACAGGCAAGTTGCCATCTGCATGTACTCCTTCTTATGCGTCGAAGTGTTGATCACGAGTTCGGCTTCGGGGGCAGCAGTGGGTTCCGGGGCTCTCGCAGGACTGGGTTTGGTGTGTGGGGCAACGGCAGCAGCGGGTTCCGGGGCTCTCGAAGCTTTGGCTTTGTCGGGGGTTGCGGTACCTTTCCCAAAGTGGTGGGTCTTGGCCTTGGGCGGGTCCTTGTCCACAATCGCAGGCATCGAGCTAGCACGTGCTGGCGTGGGCACAGGCTTCACTGTCGTTGCAGCTGTCTTCGTCGTCGGTGCAGCTGTCTTCGTGGTCGTTGCTGCAGCTTCCTTTTGCTGCAAAAGGCGGTCCATACGCGAGAGCATATTGGAGATTTCGTGCTCATAGCCTAGTTGGCTCGCACTCGGCCCAAGCCTTAGGATGCTAGGATTTTTCACAAACACTGATTGCAGTATTCGATGCCAAGCCTTAGGATCCTAAGATTTTTTGCAAACACTGATTGCAGTATTCGATCCAAGCTTCGATCTGAGAAGTTCCGAAAGGTCCGTGAGCGTGTCTTCACGCTGGAGCTGGGCATGCCCGGCGAGGTGAAGTCGATCCTGTAGCCCGTCTTGCCCTGCTTTGAAAGTAGCACATGACCTGGGATCGAAGGGTCGGGATAGCATGTTTGGGATTTGGATCACGAAGGACTTTGGTAGTATTTGGTTTGCCGGGATTGGAAGTGGGGCTTGAGGTCGGGATTTACAGTCTAGATACGCTTTCAAGTTCAGAGGGATTTGAGCTGTTCTTAATCGACGAAGTTTGTGGGTTTTCCTCACCCAGAGGCTGAGAAGGTTCAGGGTTTGTGGTAAATTGGCTCATAGGAGGACTTATCTTCGAAGGGCCGGGCTTAGGCTGTCTTCGGGTTTGCAGGGCTTCGAAGGGGTGTGCTGGCGGTCGGGAAATAGACTAGTTCGAGGGGTTTTAGTTGTTCTTGAATGAGGACTTGGGGGCTTTTCCCACCCTAACAGCTTAGGGTTTAGGGGTTTAGGGGTTTAGGGGTTTGGGGGTTTAGGGGTTTGGGGGTTTAGGGGTTTGGGGGTTTAGGGGTTTGGGGGTTTAGGGGTTTCGGGGTTTAGGGGTTTCGGGGTTTAGTGACTTAGGCACTATATGGGTTCGAAGCTTGAACTCGGAATTGGTACTTTTGCATCGCGGGTCAGGCCACGGGTTGCAGCTATGTCATCTTGTGGACACAACGTACACACAGAATGGACCCTCGACATGATGACTCGGCACCCCTTCACCACCAGTAGCCTTATTAAGGCATCGATGGTGGCTTTGCCATTTGTCGATCAGTGATGCCTCCATAAATGCGGCCCCTTCTGTAGAGGCAAGAATACCAACAACTCGCATTTCAGTGAAGCAAGGGTTTGTAGAGTGCACATACCCATAGCCAGTGTTGTGCCATCTGTGAATTGGATTGCTCGTGAGGCCGATTTTGAAGTAAGCACTGGGACTCAGGCCCCGGATAACAATGTTCGCCCGTTCAAGGATGTGGCTCGCTAAGGTCTGTGAGGGCAGCAGGTCTAGCTTCAAAGAAGGATCGGCCATGATGTCTTGGATAAGGCCTTTCAGGCGAGGTAGTTCAGCCAGGTGTTTCGGCACCCGAAGCTTCCAATAATTATCCGAAACAAAGCGAACAGCGGCACCGTTCTTCTCCATAACAGCACCCCGAGGATGCACGGCAACGGTGACGGGGAGCTCGAAATGGTCTGGCGGCGCCACCAATCCTGCAGAGGCCCAGCACTACAGAACAATTCTAGCCCCGTATATATTATGAAGTGCCACAGTCCAGAAAATAACACACTCGTGAATATGATGCAAACTAAGAATCTTCTTCGCTGCTTTTCTCTACCATAAGCCAACAGCTCCGATAACCAGGCTTCCGAGTCGTCGAAGTCACCGGGAATCGTGCCAGAGCTAGTAGAATCTGATGCACCCAGCTCGTCGTTAGCACATGGCATGCAGACACTCTGTACCATAAAACGGAGGGCTGTGCAGCCGAGCTGGCCCTGCAAAGCAACAACACCTTCGGAGTGTTCAAGCCCTCCACAACCACATTGGAATCATGCATGGACAGAGAGAGCGAGAGAGCAATCGAGAGATAATCCATGTGTGTATATGTATATGCACGAAAGTGTACATTTGTTTATCTCTGTAGACGTGCAAGCACAGGTCTACATGTAGTCAGTCACACACATACACATACATACATATACACATATACACATACATACATATACATACATACACATACAGATACATGCGTGCATTCGATGGTTTCGGGGTTTAGGGTTAATTTGTGTCGAGTCACGGAGCACCACCTTCATCATCATCGCCCCCGTCATCGTCTTCCAGGGGCTCACCATCGTTCTTTTCCTCGTCTCCCTGTGGCTCATCCTCCTCGAGTTCCTCGTCTCCTTGTGGATCATCCTCCTCGTCTCCCTGTGGCTCATCCTCCTCGGGTTCCTTGTCTCCCTGTGGCTCATCCTCCTCGGGTTCCTTGTCTCCCTGTGGCTCCTCCTCGTCCTGCTGCTGCTCCTTTGGTGGGGCAGGATCCACTAAGGTTTCCGGAAACGGATCCTCCTCCTCCTTGCCTTTGCTTGCCGATCTGGCCTCACTCACCCTGTCGATTTCATCCAGCATTGCCTGCACTTCCGCCAACCTCTCAGCATCCGAATCAGCGGCGACGGTGTCCTCATCCTGTGCTAGCTTTCGCCTTTTGGTGGGCTTGCTCTTGCTGCTCAAACGGACTTTTGGTGGCGTTTCGATGCTCTTGCTGGGTGACGGATTGCCTTTGTTGTGCTTGGCCTTCTTTGCTGACTTTGCACTCTGCGGCTGCTTGGGCTCTTCCTCATCCTCTGGCTCCTCCTCGGGAACCGCTGGCTTGGGCTCCTCATCCTCTGGCTCCTCCTCGGGAACCGCTTCAGCCTTTCGAGCCTTCACCTTTGCACCTCGCCGGGGCTTCGGCTCCTCATCCTCTGGCTCCTCCTCGGGAACCGCTTCAGCCTTTCGAGCCTTCGCCTTCGCTCGCCGGGGCTTGGGCTCCTCATCCTCTGGCTCCTCCTCGGGAACCGCTGCGGCCTTTCGAGCCTTCGCCTTTGCACCTCGCCGGGGCTTCGGCTCCTCATCCTCTGATGGCTCCTCCTGGGGAACCGCTTCAGCCTTTCGAGCCTTCGCCTTTGCACGCCGGGGCTTGGGATCCTCATCCTTTGATGGCTCCTCCTCGGGAACCGCTTCGGGCTTTCGAGCCTTCGCCTTTGCACGCCGGGGCTTGGGCTCCTCATCCTCTGATGGCTCCTCCTGGGGAACCGCTTCGGGCTTTCGAGCCTTCGCCTTTGCACCTCGCCGGGGCTTGGGCTCCTCATCCTCTGATGGCTCCTCCTGGGGAACCGCTTCGGGCTTTCGAGCCTTCGCCTTTGCACGCCGGGGCTTGGCCTCCTCATCCTCTGATGGCTCCTCCTCGGGAACCGCTTCGGCCTTTCGCGCTTTCTTGCTCTTTCCACGACCACCCTGCTTGGAATCCTCAGCTGGCTCCTCAGCCTTCCTGGCCTTATCGGCTTTGTTCTTGGGCTTGGTAGCACGGGCTTTGGGGGCAATTGTCACACCCTTTGGCTCATCCTCCTCAGTGTCCTGCGGCTCCTCTTCCTCTGCAAGGTGGGTGCAAGCCTTTGATCTGCGAAGGGGTTCGGCCTTTTCCTTTTTATTCTCCTTCACCTTCGGGGTCTTGGCCGTGGCTGCGCTGGCTGCTGCTGCTGCTGCTGCCTGCTGTTCTCGCAAGCCTTCTCGAACATTCTCAAAGACTACTACAGCATCAGCATAGGTCAAACGCTCGGATTTCATAAGCTCCTCTAAGCTCATCGTATCTTCACCCGAAAGCCTCTCAGTCAAAGCGATCGGTGGCTCATCCGGGATTCCGTGAGGATTGGCGTGGGAGGCAATCGATAGCTTAGAGCTACATGCACTCGAGGAACTCTTGTTGCCCTTGGCTTTGGTCTTCTCCCTCTCCTCGGCCTTATGCACCTTCAAAGCTTTGATGCCATCACGAACAAGCTTGCCCCTCTTGAGGGCTTCCACCAAGCCCTTGTCCCGGGCCATGCTGCACAAAAGCAGGTCTTACACACACACACGTATGATCGAGCCTGATATAGCACAGAAGAAACATGTTTAGGTTGTGAAAAAAATTCCCACGCAGAATCACGCATAATAGCGCTCATTAGCTCGATTATAACGTGCATTGCACGCTTTTTCACGCTGCCCTTTTGTAGGGGCTGCACAGGCCAGTTGCGAATTGGCACCGATGGGATACCTTAGGAATGATCAATATGGCAATTAGGCCACGAGTCCTGTGTAATTCCTGCAGAGCCATTTAGTATGCAGCAGAGGAGCAGCCATCAGCTCGAATTGTAGCCCATACCATAAACCAAGGGTTATCCTCAACGGCACCCAGAAATCACGACACACAGGCACCTGGAGCCTCGACCTATATAGATCTGCCTGGTGGCCAGCTGCAAACCATTCCGTGGAAGCATCGGGCCTTGGCATACTTTGTGTGGGGGGAATATATTGATTAAGTCAAATAATCAGGCTATATGGTCTAGCTACTCGGGTTGTGGTTTCCTCTATATGTTGTTGTATTATTGTACATCCAATATAAGCCAAGACTCGGGGGTCCGAGGAAGGACTGTGATTTCTGAACAACGAAAGGGTCTCGTGATTTGAGCAGGGGCTTCGGGATGTCTAGTGGGGCCTTACCTAGGCATGATTGTGCGAGTATCCAAGACCCACACGAACGACAATGGTTTGGTGATATGTACCTTAAGAGGTAGGGACACTAAATAGTATAGCGGTAGCTATGATCGAGGTTCGGACGGAGAACCTTGATTTTGGGATAGCTAGAAGGTATTAAGGGATGGGATAGTCGGGGAAGGACAGTGATTTAGTGAGTTCCTAAAGGCTTTGGGAAGGACCCTGATTTCGTGATGGTTCCAATAATAAGGGGTTTGGGAAGGAGCCTGATTATCAGGTTGCAGAGTTTGGGGGAAGGACCGTGAATTCGTGAATTTCTAGGGTTTTGGGAGAAGGGACCGTGAATCCGTGAATTTCCTAGGGTTTGGGGGAAGGACCGTGATTTCGTGAAAAATGCAAGGGTTCCACGAAGGACCGTGAATTCGTGAATTTTCGTGGGAATCGTGATTTCTGTTGGGCTGTGTCTGGCTCCTGCTCTAATTCTTAATATAGCACCCCAAACCCAACCGAGAATTCACGAGATATCTCGTGAACGCCCCGGCCCCGGCCCCCAGACGAGATTTTCACGAAATCACGGCCTCAAGTCCCAAATCGGTTTATTAGTTTTATCAATAGCATTCAATTTTAGTATGAAGAATAGCATTATTATATTATGTCCTATTATAAATATTGTTACTAATAATATTGATGATGTATATATTAATATTAATAGCAGCAGTATTAAAAGTACTCATAATATTAGTATAATTACTACTTGATGGGATACCTTAGGAATGATCAATATGGCAATTAGGCCACGAGTCCTGTGTAATTCCTGCAGAGCCATTTAGTATGCAGCAGAGGAGCAGCCATCAGCTCGAATTGTAGCCCATACCATAAACCAAGGGTTATCCTCAACGGCACCCAGAAATCACGACACACAGGCACCTGGAGCCTCGACCTATATAGATCTGCCTGGTGGCCAGCTGCAAACCATTCCGTGGAATCAATCATCGGGCCTTGGCATACTTTGTGTGGGAGGAATATATTGATTAAGTCAAATAATCAGGCTATATGGTCTAGCTACTCGGGTTGTGGTTTCCTCTATATGTTGTTGTATTATTGTACATCCAATATAAGCCAAGACTCAGGGGTCCGAGGAAGGACTGTGATTTCTGAACAACGAAAGGGTCTCGTGATTTGAGCGCAGGGGCTTCGGGATGTCTAGTGGGGCCTTACCTAGGCATGATTGTGCGAGTATCCAAGACCCACACGAACGACAATGGTTTGGTGATATGTACCTTAAGAGGTAGGGACACTAAATAGTATAGTGGTAGCTATGATCGAGGTTCGGACGGAGAACCTTGATTTTGGGATAGCTAGAAGGTATTATAAGGATGGGATAGTCGGGGAAGGACAGTGATTTAGTGAGTTCCTAAAGGCTTTGGGAAGGACCCTGATTTCGTGATGGTTCCAATAATAAGGGGTTTGGGAAGGAGCCTGATTATGAGGTTGCAGAGTTTGGGGGAAGGACCGTGAATTCGTGAATTTCTAGGGGTTTGGGATAAGGGACCGTGAATCCGTGAATTTCCTAGGGTTTGGGGGAAGGACCGTGATTTCGTGAAAAATGCAAGGGTTCCACGATATAGTACTTAGTACTAATACTATAGTACCATATATGGTACTATAGTATTAGTACTAAGTACTATATATAGTGCGACTATAGTGCTACTATAGGACAGCCATAGTACTACTATATAGTGTTGCTATTGTGCTGCGAAATGGCTACTATAGTGCTATTCATAGTAGCACAAGTACTAGTATACTAGCTAGTACTAGTAGTAATACCGTGCTAGTATTATAGTCCAGTACTATAGTGCAAGTACTATAGAACTAGTACTCGTGCTAGTACTAGTATTGGTATTAGTATTACTATTACTATGAGTGTAATATTATTATTACTGCAGCCCGACCCAAATAAGTCCTGAAATCTGCAACCTGTAATTAAGGTTATACCCGACGTGTGCCAGCAGATTCATGCAAGCTGCTCACCGAGAATTGCCCGCAACTCGTCTCGGAGGCAGTCCTTGGATGATCGAGAGAAAGAGAAGATCTAGGGAGGCGGAGGGGAGCTTTGGAGGGACGGAGATGGGAGGGAGGAGACCAAACCACAGGCGTGATTGTGTATTAGGGACCTGGGTCCTTAGCTTAGCCAGCTTAGGGGAACTGAAGCAAACCAGTAGAATGCACGAGAGAGGTGAACGGCAGGTTTACCGGGTTCGACAAGGGAGTGAGGGATCTAGGGAGGCAGAAGAAAGAAAACACTGACTCGAACCTCATGGCCTCACTCAAATCTCGGCACTGTTGCCACTCGATCATCTTCACATATAATGTATTCCCCAATCCTCTCCTCTCTGAAACCTTGAACCATCCAAACCCAAACCCTAAGATTCATCTCTCCAGCGAGACCCTATAAGCCCAATTAATAGACCCATACTAGAAATTTACACTTTGGATCTTGAACGGGAGAGAAAGTAGGAATTCAATTCTCCCATTACAATCCCACAATTGGCTATTTACGGTCCGGCTGACATAGCACTTTTGGTTTGCTAGGTATATAGTAGCGACGGGTTTGTACCACTACGAATATTTCTGATTCAACACTGAACCCCAAACCTGAAGGCTCAAAATCCCAGAACCCAGCCCAAGGCCAATATAAACCAAGCCCAGGTATCCCACTGGCCAGGAAAGTGGATGCTCTTGCTGCGAAGCAGATACTTGACACATGACAGGAGGTCGGCCTGAGTTGATGCATGACACATACGGGAACATAGCTAAAAAAACAGACTTGTCTGACTTAACTAGATGCAGTGTATACATCCTCAGCAGGCAATGCACCTCTGCAAACTCTGCAACAGTTGTCGATCTGAGAAGAGGAAGGAACAGCTCGAAGTCCGTCTTCGACATGTCAACATCAGTGGACATTCTGGGGCCCTCCAATTCATCCTGGGTTCAACCAGAGACAGTACATGAGCCAACACATTCAGTTTTTCCGGAATCCTGCAGATAAGCCTCACTGTCCTGGTTCGTGCGCCAATAGTCTGCCAACAGCAAGCCGAATCTCCGAGGGTATGTCCTGGGCTGGATGTCAGGGCATCATGCATGAGGCTATGTCCCTAGGCAGGATGCGGCTTCGGCTTTTGAAGCCTGAACCCCCAAACCCTCAAAGCCCTATACCCTCAACTCCACACTTGTATAAGCCCCGAACCCTATCAGCCCCATGTATAAGCCCGATATATACAAAGCTATAATCCCTATATATAAGCCCTAAGAGGCCCTTTCCCTAAACAAGTTATCCCGACCCCGTGAAACCCAATATGTTGAACTTCACAGCCAAACAGAATCCACGACTCCAGGGCTTCGAGGTTAAAGCGGCAGACTAATAGTGTCTAGGGATTCAGAGTTTCAGGGTAAAGGGTATTTAGGGCAGCATATATATATATATATATATAGGGCCAAGTATATTGATCAATATATATATATATATATATACATACATACATATAGCCTCTAACAGGGTCTAAGGCGGTTTTCGGAAAACAATAGGTGCCATCTTCCTATTGGTCCACAAACAAAGACCTTGTCGGGGGTCGAAGTGTTTGTTTACCGGGTTTACCGAAGCTTTAACACATGCAGTCGGGCATCTGACTCTGCTTGAGGCTCTTTTTCACCCCCGTAAAAGTTCGTTGTCCAAACCTAGACCTGCTGCGACCGTGGTGGGCCAGAGCCACTTGTGTCATTTTCTCCCGTTGTGATAAAGTCATGTACCCACCCTGAGCTGTAATTGCTGCAAGGAGAGACCGGGCATTGCTATATCCGATATGGCGCTTGCAGCTCAGCTGGCCAAAGAATCCCATGTACCACTTGGCCTCGAATACCTGATGGCATTTAGTAGCTCCGTGCTAAGAACCAGAGATATGTCATGCAAGATAAGAATACACTACAAGCTTCCGTGCAGAAACGGCACATGAACTCTTCCCCGCAAAAACTCCATCCATGGATGCATCCCCACACAGCTCTGGAAGGGCTGCTCGATCAACCATCTCACTTTTCGTGAGCTCAGTAGCAAAGCCAGAAGGCAAACCCTTGCAAGCAGAAGGTTTCCGGTAGCCACCGACCCATAGCCAGTATTGCCATTCGGATTGATTTCGTTCCTCCCACTCGTAGCTCTGGACCTTGAATGGCAGCACACGAGTTAATTCAACACTATGTGGAATTGAACACCGTCATGTAAACTTCTGTTTGAAGATAAGCAACATTACCGAGAAAGAGTTGCAAGGGAGCGCCAGGATTACCAGACCGCCTTCTTTTACTCGTCGTGCTTCATTTAAAGCCAGCCTGCCAACCGGTGGTTGCCAACCAGCAGCATAAACAAATTTCACACAATGCAAGGTTTAGGGGTTTGGGTTTCGGGTGTTTGGGTTTCGGGTGTAAGGGTTTCATCTTAAGGCGAGCAGCAAAAAGCCAGATGGCTTCGTCAAGTCCATGGCAACGGGGTCGGTGTCTAGATCTATGCTGGATCCACGAGCTCCAGCATCCTCGCAAGGAGCAACTACGTATCACGAAAGAGGTCTTACAGTAGATCCGATAGGCGAAATCCCGAAATTGCCGAATTCCAACAAATCCCACAAACACCATCCCCTACCTGATTGCCAAACTCCAGTCCTGTCTCAGGCACTGGGAGACATGGCCCATCCCGGCGAAAACCTCGAGGAAGTCCAGATCCTGCTGTGCGTGGTGGTGGCTGCGGCGGTTAAGGGTCTTGGCTTACCAATAAAACCCGAAACCCTACCGAGCCTTGCCCATATATAGTTCTGAATAAGTTTCTGAACAACAAAATTATTGCCTCTATTATGATGCAGCTGTTCGGTCCTGCCCCTGAAGAGCTGACTCATAAAAGCCAAGCAGTACACACAGCAGGATGAAGGGCACGGGCGCCCGCCATTGGAGCAGCTCTGCCACCACCATAATTCGTCAAAGTCGGACCCTGAAATCTGAATCCTGACAACCACAGTCGAAAAAGCGAGACTCCCTATAGAAGAGCGGCGAAGTCACCAACCCAGAACCAGGACCTAGCTAGTGCACCTGAAAAGGATCAGTAAACTCAAGCAGAAACAGGAAGCCCAACACAAAACCAATAAGTACTGGCATACCTTAGGTGCAGCATCTATATGTACAAAATAAATGCATGAATAACATGCACACACATTCTTTAATTCTCATGAACCAATAGACATATGTATGCACATATACATGTTTCTATCTGTAATATACTACACATATGTACACACACACACATACATACATGCATCCATGCATGCATGCATGCATACATACATAGCCACACACACACTTCTGTGCACCCTGTATAGACATGTGTGTACACCTGAGCCTTGGGTTTGCGGGTTCGACCAGGTTTTCAGCGACCCACACATCGAAGGAGTCCAGAACTATGGGTTTTGAGGGAACGGTTAGGCAGAGGGCCCAAGGTTCGGGTTTAACGGCCTGAATAAAGTTAAGGGATGCTTGATTCGGGTCTAGCTTCAAAGTTCAGGGTTGAAATGGGTTTCGGCTGTAGTAAACATGACTGCACTATGTCATACCTAGAGTGCATCTGAGGCGAGCGAGCAACTTCAGGAACATCTCTGCAGTGGTGGCCCTGCATGCACTGGCTGCCCTGCTAGCAGCTTCCAGGCAGACTGATCGGATAAAGATTTTCAGCTTGTTCCGGGTTCCCACAAGCATCTAGCTGGCAGCATGTGCATTCAGTAATGCACCGGCCAAATTGTGCACATCACATTTGTGAAGACAGCTCAGACCGAAAAGCCTAAATAAATCTTCTCTTTTTCAGCTGACCATGACTCATGCCTTCCAGAAGCTTCGCCCGTCTTTCGGAGGTGTTCCATCGCTTGCAGGCTTCACTCCACGTCACATCTTCACTCTTGCGTAGGTCGGCAATGAACTTAAGACGGATTTCTCGAAACTCCCCTGGCTTGTAAAGGCAAGCTGAGTTGTTGGATGCAGGATTCTTCTCAGCACACGGCTTTGACTTCTTCTTATTTCCTCCTTTCTTCTTCTTCTTCACACTCTTCTTCTTTTTCTTTTTGGGTTTCTCACCCTCATCTTCCTCACATCCAGCCTCACTTTCCTGACACCACCTCATCTATTCAGGATTAAGTGGACAACCAGTGCACTTGACTGTCAACTTCCATCACATGTTGCGTGCAAGCGGCTGCTCGCTGGGCAGGATGGCTCGCGTCTTGACCTTCGCGATGGATTCCAGGCTGTCAAGAACCTGATCTAGCAAGGTATGGTTGATGGGTCCGAGGGTGACCCAGGTAATTATCATTGAGGCATAGCATATGGAGGGTGGCATGCTTTAAATCAGCGAAGAAACCGTCGATGGCAAAGCTGAAAAGCGGGAGCTAGTCAGGGCATCAGGAGACTTCTCATTCGAAGGGCAGCATTTTCCAAGAATGCGTGCAGCAATGCTCCTTATTCCAGCAGAAGCAATTGCATGATCCTATATAGGTTCCTCTGCATGGCCCAGAAGTTTAGCCAAGAATCTTGAGCTCCTTAGGCTTCGAGTCTTGGTGGGCAGCATCCATAGTTTGTCGTGGGGCTCGTTTGGGCACCTGAGCTGATAGCTGGGATAACCGGCTAACCCTTTACCTAAGCCTGATCAGAAGTAGCAGTTCATCCCAGGAGCCTCGGGCGGGTTCGCAAGCATCTGCAGCTGGGCGTCGTGATCCAAGCCGTCGTCGGACGACTCTTCTTCTGAAGACTCACAGCTGCTCGCATCCTGGGAGCAGGCTTATGGCTGATTATGGTCGGGTAGGCTTCGGGGGATTTGAGGTTTCGGGCGGCGGGTTTCGGGTTGTGTGAAATTTAGGTTAAGAATATAGAATCTAAACTCATTGTAGCAGAGACTCATTGTCCTTCGAAGGCAGATAATCCTTCAGCTCATTCTTTAGCTCCATAAGCGTTGAATTTCGGGAAGAACGTGCACGTCGAAGGAGCGGCTTGAACTTGGTAACCTCAAAAACTACAGTCATTGCAGAACCCACCTCGCGAGACCTAATGCCTGTGATACTTCACTGAACTGCCAAGAAACCAGTTTGCGAAGGGCTAGGCCAGCTCGGCATGCATAATCTCGTACAGCTTGGCTAGCTATAGTTATCCCCCTCGGCAAGACGTCGCTGTCGTTGAAATAATACAGGATAGCATCCATATACACGTACGAGCTCAATCGTCTTCGGCTTCGCGGGGTTCCACGAACTGCTGCAGCTATAGCCTCAATACTATAACAGTAGCATCTAGAGCACAGAACCTAATTTGGCCTAGCAAACTTGTACCTCTAAACAGCAACCGAGAATCCCGGGCATTTGCTATCACATCTTTGCGTGTGCAAGCACGTCGTTGACTAAGCAGTTTGCCACTGGTATCTACCAGCAACGATATACCTGCCTCAGATGTTTGAAGAACCCACACAAAGCAAATGCTTTGGCTCAGCTAAATATACAAATCCTACAACAATATGCTTGTTCGATCAAAACGATGCTATGCCCAGAAAAGTCACTGCGTGCAAACTCTCTTCTTTAGCCAGCTCACGAGCTACAGCTACTGCTTCGGACCCAGGCTCAAAAACGACCTTGCCCTTCTTCGGCGGCATGGTTTCACCCGCATGCACTACAAACCTGGAGCCACCTCGCCTTCGGAAGGAAAACAAGAGCTTCAAGCCGTCTCCAACACAGCACTGCCACATCCTGATTTCCCAACACACTCTTAAGCAGGGGGTGGGCGCACAGACAGCCTCGCAAAGATATGGCCCAGCCCGGCGTGGCATGCCGGGATCACCCAGCAAGCCATGATCGATGCACACATAAATCGCTTTCACAATGCTGCTATTTCTAAGCCATGCGGAATCATATCAGAAGCCTATGCAGCTCTTAAGAACTGAATTTCGGAATATAGAGCTCTGCCACTCGACTCATGAAGACTTGCGACTTATCGGCAAGAACTCAGCACGTGAAACCTGCAGCAGCATCCGTATCTGTGGGTTTTACAGGTTGAGAGCTGTTCATCGGTTTAAATTCGGCTTGCAGAACGGGGTCTTATAGAGGTTTTGGAGGCACGAGAGGGATAGAGCCTTCGAGGTTGGGGAGCTGTGGTTGGGGAGTATATCTGGCTACGGAAGCTGTTGCTTGGGATTCTGCCTACACATGCAGCAGCGGGATCTGTAGAGCTTTGGTTGTTTGGGAGCTGTTGCTGAAGAGTTCACATCTGCCTACACTAACAGCCCAGAGACTCCAATACCCGTTAATTAAGGAATATTCCTTGAATCATATTAGGGATCCTTACTACAATTTAAGGAATATTCCTTAATTAACGGGTATTGGAGTCTCTGGGAGCTTGTGGGATCTTTGGAGCTTAGAAAATTCAGCTGTTGCCTGGGAGTCTGCTTGCGGTAGCAATATGGGACCTTAGAGCTTTATTTGGAGGCTGGGGAGTCGGTATAAATTGCTCGGGAGTACATTTGCCCACAGCAGCTGTGGGCTCTTTGGCTTTGGAATCTGGGAAGCTGTTGCTTAGAATTTGCCTACAGCACCAAAAGGATCTTTAAGGCTTTATTTGGAGGTTTGGGAGCTGTTGCTCGGGACTTCATCTGCCTACAGCAGCACCGCAGGATCTTTAGAGGTTTTCGAGGATTTAGATTGGAAGTTGGGGATTGCTCGGGAATTGTGCCTGGGTACAGCAACGGGATCTTTAAATCTGTTGGAGATTGGAAAGCTGTTGCTAGGATAAGTGTGACTCGCGGGGCTGGTTTATCAGGCTTTAACCTGGGCTTGGGATTGCTAGTGCCCGAAACTCAACAGAATGCCGTGAATTCTATGAAATCCTTGGCCAAACGGATCCTCAGCCCCAGACCCACCAAAACAAAAACCGAAGCCAAACCCCAAACCCTGAACCTGACCCCAAATTCTAAAACCGCACAGCACAAAGCCGTGGTCTTGGAAACACTTTGGGGTCCCGGCAGGACGTACAAGTTTCGAGCATGTTATTCGTCTCTATGGTGTATATTTAGGGGTTAAGGTTTTTTCCACCGCACATTTAAGGTTTTTTTCACACCGAAAAGCACATGCATAGCTAGGGAACGGAGAGTTCAGTCAGTACGCAGACCGGACAAGCTTGGCAGGAATTCGGCTGGAAACCACAATTTTAATCACCACTGCCTGGAAAACACATTTCCTGGCCAATTTTCTTGAATTCAGTGCACTCATACAACCATACCCTGTACAAAGCAAAACCGGCGAAATACACAAAACAAAAAAAATTGACTGGTTAGCATGGGAAGTCCTCGGCACACCAAATTATATAGGTCATTTGAAACGCACCTTATAATAGGGCACATTCATTTGGGCGCACGCACGTATTTTTAAAGGACATCAGGTCTTCCAGGTATAGATGGGACCCAAGTGCGGATGTTGGCGCCGCCGCGGCGGGGCTTGCGCCCGGACCTGCATGTGGCGTGCGACGGCGCGCAGCTCGCTGCGGTGTTTACGAGGCTGGCGCAAGACTGCGATGCCTGTGCTGGCTCGGAGGCCAGGGACTACCAGCGCACGGGGCGCTATGCGGCCCACGCGCAAGGACGCGGGCGCGGTACACGCGGGCGCCCCCGAGGCTCGCGCCGCCGCGGAGTGGCAGGGCGTGCGGCGCCCGGCGCGCCGCGCGCGAGACAGGTGCCCGCGGAGGAAGAGCAGGAGGAGGAGGACGAGGAGAGTGCAGATGAGGATGCAGAGGACGGAGAGCGCTGAACAGCGGCTTTTACAGTTTTGCGCAGGATCTGCGACCGAAGGAACCAAAATAAGGGAAGAGCCCAGTTGTTTGGCTGCGTTGCATTATTTGTGCACCGTGCAGTAGTATGGAATTTCTTTTTGCAATGCATGGCATGCGTGCGGAATTCTGACATCCGCGCCGCTCCTTATCAAGCTGCAAGCACAGCAGCAAAGCACAGCAGCAAACTTTGCAGCAAACACAGCAGCAAACACAGCACCAAACACAGCAGCAAACACAGCTCCAAGCACAGCAGCAAACAAGGCAGCATGCATGCGGCCTTCCTCGCACTTGCACTCATGCAGCCAAGTCTATATATAGGCACACGCACTTAAAGTACATGGAGCCTTGTAGGCACAGTCAAGAAAACGCCATGTAGGCACACGCACGAAAGCGCTTTAGGAGCCACTGTAGGCTGTAGGAGGAGTGTATGGGAGGGAGCCACTGTAGGCTGGAGCCATGGTCAGCATGCCAAGGGACGTGCTGCTGGAAATGGTTGCAACCCTCGAGTTGGCGCGGAACACGCGGGTTCTCAACGAAGCCGAAGAGCGCTTAGTCGCTGAGTTTCGCAAAAGCGAAGGGGAGCGGGCACAAGCTGCCAAGGAAGCGGAGGACTGCATGGCATGTTTTCTGTTCATTTTTTTTGAAGTTTAATATATATATATATATGTATACATATTTATGAATATCTGTGTATACATAATTATAAATATAAATATAAATATAAGTATAAGTATATATATATATATATATAAGTACATATATAAGTTCATATTGCACTATATAAACCCGTTTATACGCCTATACTTATCTTCCATGCAGGACGCGTATACGACCAGCCCGTCCCAGGAGCCCGCAGCGGCTGAGAAGGAGCCCAGAGAGGCTGAGCCCATGGAGGCTGACGAAAAGCACGAGGAGCCTTCAAAAGCTGCAAAGGAGCCCGCGGAGGCTGCGTCGCCTGACTCCCCGGACTACGAGGAGCCGAGCCCGGCTCAGGAGAAGGAGCCGGCTGAGGCTGAGCAGCAGCAGACGGAGGACGAGCCTGAAAAGGCTGAGGAGGACAAGGAGGAGGCGCCCGAAGAGGCGGAGAAGGACCTGGGGCCGCCGGCAGACCCAAGGCCGCGGCCGAAGGTAAGCAAGAAGCGGGAGACCGAGGAGCGCAGAGTCGCTGACGACACAGCAGAAGAGCGCCAAAGCCGCTTTCGCAGGCAGGAGGAAGTGCGCTCGCTGCAGTTTCAGGCGCAGATGCAGGAGCACGCGGAGATGCTGAAGCGAATGAGGGCGCAAGAAGAGGACGAAATCCGCAGACGCCGAAACATGTTCGAACAGGAGCGCCGCGACAGGGAGCGCGAGGACGCTGACAACCAGCGCCGGTGGCGGGAGGATGAGGAGGAGCAGGAGCGCCGACGCAGGCGGGCGGAGCAAGAGCGCCGGGACAGGCGGGAGGCGCGAAGCAACGTGGAGTCGGAGGCGGACCGGCGCCCGCAGGGGCGAGAGCGCGCTGACGATCGCGAT